AACTTTTTTGAAATGAAAACACCAAAAGACAACACACACGCACACACACAGACGCAAGCGTGGGCAAACACTCACAGATACTGCGTACACTGACAGCTACTACGAACACCGTTAAGCGGGCGAAGGGCAAGGGGCGGTGGGCGGTGGGAGTGAGATAAAAGAAAACGCGGTAGGCGCGGCGGTTATTCAGGTAACGCTCTGTCAGAGTGTGTGTGTGGATTTTTGCCTGCCTGCGCCTGTGTGTGTGAGTATTTGCAGTCCAAACTTTACGGCCTTTACGCACTCTGTTCGTCGATCAATGAATCAAACTCCAACTCCAGAAAGCAGCTTTAATCACTTGTGTCGCCCGTTTCGCTCAGTGTTCTCGATTTAAACTCCACTGCGATAGTGTGTGTGTGCCGTGTCCGTGTCGGTAAGTGTGTGTTTGGTGTGTTGCAAGCTTCAGTTGTGTGGCTCTCGGCTCAAATCACTCTTAACGCCACCGCTCGTCTGAAATCCGCGTTCGACACTGAGAGCTTTTGGGCCAGCGTTAAACTTTCGACCACCTCAAAGAAGAAGTGTGGCTAAATCCAAATCACAAAAAAGCACTACTTTTCCCTAAAATATTTGTTAAAAAATATGGCAAAACTTTTGCAAGCATTAACTGTGTCCGCATTCCCTATCACGAGTTTACAATTGTTAAATGTTAATACACATTTTTAATAAGATTTTTTCCTAAATCACCGGTACTTTTAGTAGACCGTTAATTATTTGAATAAAGATTAAGAATCTGCACGGTTAATAATCTGGTGCGACATTCACTTTTCTTTAAAGAATTACCGATGTCTATATTTTCTAAAGACCCCTTATTTTTAGAACAATTTAAAAATAATGATACTAAAAATTACTTTCTACCGACACTTGACAAAAGCTGGCTGCGCTGAAAGTAAAAGCTTCCAAAAAGCTATTCAAACGTCATGGCGCGTTTACTTAATTTTTCAAAACTTTGGAGGTATCTGATAGGTAAACTGATCCCATAGCAATTTACTTGTTTTCGCGGATTAAACTTCACGTGTGCTTTTAAAAAAAATTCTTTGTTAATAGCACAAGCAAATAAGGTCCAGCAACTATGGGAATGGCAATTTCCTGACCATTTGTATATGGCTCTTTTAGTCGTTGGCTCATCTGCATAGACTTATCTATTTTTGGCTTGCTTAGTGTCTTCTCAGGCACGCGAAAAACTCTTTGGGCCATTAACAAGCTAATCAAAATGCATAAATCACCAATATATGTACAAGATGCCGACTACAAAGTCGCTGTCGCACGGCGATCCATTCACCTGCGGCCAGGCCAATGTGTTTTTGTCATATTTCCCACTTATCAACAACTTCATGGACCCGCTCCGGGTCATATAACATTGACGCTAAAAACGCTAGACGGCTGCAGTTGGCTAAAAAAAATTATACAATTACCCGAAAACACATGCGAATTAAATTGTACAAAAAGTGAAACCAGCAAAAGAAGCGAAAGCCAACCGACTGCAGATGAAAATTAAGACGAAGATGAAGTTGTAGCTCCAGCTGAAGTCGAGGTTGAGGCTGTCTTAAGCCGGTGTCCCGTCCCACTCCCAAGATGCATTTCGGTGGGTCCCCATCCCCATCGCCATCGCCATTCCAGTCCCCAACTCCGCTGGCTCATAATCAGCAGATGTTAGCCATAAAATTGGAAAGGAGGAAACAGTTGACCATTCCATTCCATTCCATTGGCCAACTGGTTATGGATGGCGAATCTGCCAGCGAACTTCTCGAACCCCCATGTCCAATGTCCATGTCCAAAACCGAGAGTGATAAATGCTCAAACGGATTTATATTTTTGTTTTTTTGTATATTTTTTTGTATTTTTCGCTGGTTTTATACTTTTTAGGTATTTTTGTTTGTTTTTATTGAAATTCCTTAGATCGCAAGAAGCGCACAGAAGTAATATGTATGGTAATTGTTGTATATGGTATAGATATAGATACATTATTATTATTATCAATTATATATATAATGTAATATGTAAGTAATATTTATATATTGTTGTTGTTGTATGTGTGTGGGTGGTGTGTGTGTGGTGTGGTGTGTTGTGTGTGGTGTCTGCTTGTTGTGTGGTGTGCTTGTTGGTATAATAATTAGATATACGTAATTAAGTATATATATTATATACAAATCTCAATGGATTGTTGATTGATTTGCTTGAATTTACAGTTATATCTGGTATATGTACCTTGTATCTTTATCTGTTTATGTAGATTTATAAATTTAAGATTACACGCTAGATATTTCAAAAAATGTCCACTTCGCTACAGGCTTATCCAACTAACATACAGCTAAGTAATATATATGTGTATATATCTATATATTTTATTGTATTGTATTGTATGTAAAAACACAATCCGCCCAGCCCAGTCATTAGCTTTGGGACCCAAATAAAAAATAAACCTTTTTCATTGCAGCTGGCAAAACCAAATAAGTCTGACTCTAAGACTCCCTATCGTCTTTAACTTTTTTTTTTTTTTTTGGAAATTTTTTGTTTTTGGTTTTGATTTTGATTCAGTTTTAGAGTTTCGGTTTCAGTTTCAGTATCAGGTTAACTCGTTTTAAAGTTTGCACTAAGTAAAATGTTTTGCAGATTGCAAATTGGAATACGTTGGCTTTGGACCTTGTCGAATATGCATATAGATAATCTGGATATATACACATACATACAGCGTACATCGTACATTATGTCACAATGTTTAAACTAAAGTTAATACATAAATTCAAAACACAAGTTCAAGGTTAACATTATACAAAAGTGAGTGATTGATAGACAATTCTCAAGGTTCTCAAAGAATGCACACGGAGAGGAAACATCGTAAACGTACGATGATGTATGAATGATGAATTCATCGTCATCGACACATCTTCGAATCATTTTGTTTTGTGGACCATTTGTCTTTCATTTGTTGTAAATATAAATATATATTAATGGTTGCATATAAGCATATATTTTAAGTCGATTTTTGTATTTTGTTGCAATTGCAAAAGGAGACTTACACATAAAGCAATCAGCTCTTGATGCTTTTCGTAGAAGTGTTTTTCGTTTCAAACTATAAATATTTGTTGTTTAGAGCGTATTTATGTATTACATATTTATCAGTTAATCATTCAAAATTATCACCCAGTTGGATATAACACTTCAATCAATCAATCATTCACATATGTTGCTGTTGCCTGACATACCGAAAATATTCTACAAATTATGACATTTCGTTTAGAGATTTTGTTTTACAATTTATAACACATTACTTTAAATTTAATTTAATTTCTTTGTTTTGTGAATTGAATTTCATTGAGCAACTTCTGATACACCAGACAAATACATCCTCTACACATCCGAATCCTTGTCGACAGTTTAATTTGACTAATATTTACATATCATCGCTTTAATTTATCATTTCAGCCTGCAATTAGATTGTTGCTTGGAATTTCTAGACTGGAACCCAACACTCCGCCCTTGCTTACTGCACTTGGCATACAAAAAGGTCAATCCGTAATTAACAGGCTATATCATATGCATACGGTTTTTTTTTTTTTTTTAGGTTTTGTGTGTTTGTTTATTAAAAAATACAATGGTATGTGTGGGGGGATACGTGGGTTGGCTAATCCAAAATTAAGTCATTACTGTTTATGGTTTTTGGGATTACTACAAAAAAAAATGAAGAAAGTTGTAAAAGATGAAAACGATTTTGACCGAGGAAACAAGAATAAATTTTGGTTTTACATTACTTTTTTTTTTTGTTTTTGTTTTTTTTTTTTTTTTTTTTTGTTAAGATTTTACAAATTAAAATTTAGTTGTCGTAGGCAAATCAAATTACACAAGTAACGTGGATGTTAGAAATTGTGGGGATATCGATTAATATAGCCAAATGATTGATGATTAGGTTCGATTCGCAATCGTTTTCGCCCTTCTTGGGAGTCAGTAATGGTGGTTGTGTCTCTGTTCAACATCTAACAGCGGCTGAAGTTCAGTCTGCGGTTCAAACTCTCGGTATAGTTACATTTATAAAGTAGGAGCGTGTGTGTGTGCCAAGTGTCGTGGATAGGCTTTACAGTCGCCGGTCACATTGAGTTAGAGATATAGAAAAGGAACAGTAAAATAGACCTCTGATCATACAGTTAAGTTAACAAAGAAAGAAGCCAACCGAATGAGAAATGAATCAACAGTAAATGTAAAGTGCCCGGGGGCAAGGCAAGCAAACCCATGACCCATGGTTCTTCTCCTAGACAAACTGATGATGATGCTGGTGCTGCTCCTGCTGTTCGGTCACATTGAGGTAGGAATCCTCGCCCAGCAGCAAAACACTGGGCGCCGAGCCGTCGTGCGGGTAGAAGTAGGCAAACTGTCCGCTGTATGTTCCTGCCGTCGAGCGTCCGCCGTCCTTCAGTTGGTTGTAAACGGGCAGTCCGTTGATCTGCTGAGGTGTCAGCACCAAGCTGCCCGTGATTCCGCCGACTCTTGCTTCTGATCCTGACCCTGTTTCTGCATCTGCTTCTGCTCCTGCTGCTGCTGGTGCTGCTGATGATGATGATGATGATGATGCTGCCTTTTGCTTGGTCCTGCTGCTCTTCTTTGCTGTCCTTGTCATGGTTGCTGTCTCTGTTGTAGCTGCTGTTTCTTTGCCATTGTTCTCCGTTGCTGTTGCTGTTGCTGTTGCTGCCTGCTTAGCTTGGGTCTTGGCCTTGTTCTTCTTCTTCCTGCTGCTGCTGGTGCTGGTGCTGCTGCTTATGGTCGCGGGTCTAATTTGGTTTTGGACTTGGGTTCCGGGGGCTGTTGCTGACGGTGGTGATGGTGGTTGAGATGATGGTGCTGCTATCGGTGCTGTTTCTAGTGGTGGTTCAGTTTCAGTTTCAGCCAATGCATCCTCTGACCACTGTTGCTGTTGGAACTGTTGCTGTTGCTGTTGCTGCTGCTGCTGCTGCTGCTGCTGATGCTGCTCCTGCTGCCCCAATCACGTGCTCAGCCAGGTGGAGTTGCACGTGCAGATGGTGCTGGGGATCACAGGTGCATAGTAGACGCCGTTGGCGTAGATGAGTCCCGGCGGACCGGCCTGTATCTGTATGGTCTGTGGAGCGGCTGTCGGCGTCTGATCCGCGCTGCTCGTGCAGCACACGGCAGCTGGGGCGGCCTGTTGCACGTAAATGGTCTGCGCCTGGCCCGTTGGCGGTGCCTGCGAAACAAGGGTCAGGGTGGCCGCCTGCTGCGGCTGCTGTTGTTGCGACTGTGCCTGCTGCTGCTGCTGTTGCTGCTGCTGCTGCTGCTGCGCTGGGTCCAGGAACTGATGCTGTCGCTGCTGCTGCTGCTGGTGTTGCTGGTGCTGCTGATGTTGCTGCTGCTGCTGCTGCTGCTGGTACTGCTCATGGGCGTGCTGCTGCTGTTGCTTCTCCTGTTTGTTGAAGAGCACCTGGGCGGCCAGCGACTGGATGAGGTGGAGCGTCTGGCGCCGCTCGTGGCCCATCAGACAGACCGTCGACATCTCGACCACCTCGCGTAAATGCATCAGGTACTGATACTGCAGCGGTTCCTCATCGACGCCCCAGAAATGGTTACGCAAGTAGGCCTCCAGCTTGGTGGTCTGCGTATTGATGTCCGGGAAGTCGATGAAGAATCGCGAGCACATGTAACGCTCCAGGGTCTTGATGAGCTGCGAGTCGACGGCCTTGTAGTTGCGCACCAATAGATTGCAGTACTTGAGCAGGCCGCCGCCTCGAATCTCCTCCGGCTGACGCGTTGAGATCAGTTTCTTTTGCAAGTGGTAGAGTGCCTCCTGGAAGTCCCCGTACACCGACTCGCCGACCACCGTCGGATAGAAGTTCTCCGAGATGGGCAGGGCGGCGCAGTCGTAGAAGAGCAGCAGCGAGTCCAGGACGATCTGGAACGAGTCCACCGAGAACTCGAACTGACGGCGCATCGAGTCGACGAACTTCAGCTCAACGTTCTTGTGGCCCGGCGAGTTGCCCAGTGAGATGAGCGACCAGCGGTCGCCGTCATTGTTGTTGTTCACCTTGACCATCTTGCCCACGTAGGCCTCCTTCAGGGAGCACGTGTAGATGCGCCGCTTGCACACACCTTCGGGCATTAAGTCGAGCAGCGTGTTCAGCACCGCCACCTTGACGCGGTCGAAGACGCGCGGCGAACTCAGCTCGATGGCGAATATCAGGTCGAGGTCATTGTACGGCTGATCCTCGCTGGCTAAAACATGACTAGCTGCCCCGCCGTTGAGACGGATGTCCTTAACTAACACCCCGGCGCCGCCGGCGTTCACCTCCGCCTCCAGCTTGCGGCGCACCAGATTGACCAGATCCTTGAGCGTCACCTCCAGCGTGGGAAAGTTGCCGCGTCCGTGGATGGCCACCTTCTCGTCCATGACGTCGTGCAGCTTGCTCACCTGCTCGAACGATAGCACGGCCAGCCGCTGCGTCCCTCCGGTGTCGACGCTCTCCAGCGATCCGTGGTCCGACGTCGAGGCGATCGAAGATCCGGAGCTCGGCGACGGCGGCGGTGTCTCGGTGCCGCCGTCCGAGTGGAATCCATCGTCGATCTGGTAGACGTCCATTCTGTTGCTGCGCTGTTGATGATATAACGGTTCGGCTCCGTCTAGTGTCCCGCACTGCAATTGGATGAAAGGAAAACAATTCAGTTAGTACAGCATTGTGGTGATGTTAAATAAGTATGCATGTGCTACCAATGTTCTATTCGTAAAGGAATCTTTTGCTGGTAGTTTGATTCTCCCACTGATCTACACTACCATCGTTGTTGTTATTGTAAAGTATGTATATGGTTGGCTCGCTTTCGAGGTTTTGTACAGAACTAAATTTTGCAAAAGGAATTTTTGTGTGGAGGTGAAAATGTCGAGGTCAAACGAATGAAATCTGTTTTAAAAGTAACTGTTTGATTACATTTCGAGAGGCTAGTTGTTGGCTGCCAACGGGCTAAAGTGGTAAATTCAGTTCAGAGCGAAAATTGTAGCCTTCTACAAATAAAATTATCTCTACATGGCAATTATTATAATAATTCTTATATTTTCAATATGCTACGAAAAACTAAAACAATAGTAACTTCTATAAAATCTTTATTTAGAATATTATAGCACTAAAACAGTATTTTCATTTTTCTTTTCTGGCTATAATTTCAGCAAAGTTACTATAATTTAAAAATAATTTACTTCTGCTTGCTGCATTTTTTTATAAAATGTATTTATTATGATATATATCATTAAATGCTCTGGTACTTCGCCATAGATTGTTTGTTTTTTTTAGCGTATAACCTACATGTACATATGTATGTACATAACTGCCCTATTCTAACTTTATCTCCCTACCCTGTTTTTTTTCAATTTTTGTTCATGTCGTTTCATCATCATGATATTGTCACTGTTATTTATTTATTTATTTTTGCCATTTTATCTTGCCAATGCCAAACGCCGCCCGGGGGCTTCTTTTAATTAATTAATTTGCTTTAAATTTGCTAAATTCGACTGTCTGTGCACAACTGTTGCTGTGTGCGCGAGCAGCCTACGCGCTAAACATTAAATGCTGTGCTATTTATTGCTTATTTTATTTCACTTTTTTTCGCGTTCTCGCCCAAATACGAGGCAACAACAAGAGTTTTTGGCATCACATCTAATTTGGATCGTATCGTATCGTATCGTATCGGAACGAGACGAGTCAAGTCGAAAGTTCCGCGTTGTTATCGAGGCGACGTTTCTGTTTAGTTCCCCCAAATATTCCCTATGATTCTATTCGTTATCCCATTCCCCCGACTTTTCGCCTTCTGTTTTGTGCCACTGTTTAATATGGCATGGGCTATGGCTATTATATCGTTTAGCTCTATCTCTTGTATGAGTTCTATTTGCGCGTGTGTGCAAGTTTTGGGTTCTCATTTTTATCATTTTGTTTGTGCGTTCACAAAAAAAAAAAAAAAAAACTTTAATTTTCTGGCATAACTGGCCGGCGACCACACAAAGTATATGTGTATGTATGTATGTATGTAAAATATACATAATATATACTAAGCACAATATAAGAGACAGATAGAGCCGTGCGACGATTTGAGAGGTGGGGTGATGAACGAGTTAAGGAATCGCCATAATACAATTCAAATAGATTCTTGCGTCGCATGATTCACAGCGTGCTCGTACAGTCCACAACAACTTAGTTAACCCCCGATTCCGATTCCGATTCCGACCTGACCTGCCGATTTGCACAAGCCGTCACTCGCATGCAAATCTAGCCGAAGGCCTCTCCACAACCAAATTATATCATTCACACGACGAAACAAGAAAGAACGCAGAGTAGTGATGTCGATTTGGCTCTGTTTTCACTATTAAAGTTATACAATTTTTAAGTGCAACTTTTCGAAATAAGATTATTTGTCCTTTTTTTTTAGCAACATCTTGCTGTTGGCTTATCGCTTTTAAAAATTTTATAGTTTTATAGTTCGAATATTTAACTTGTGAAATTCTATCTTTGTTTGGTGAAATTATTATAACATTATACATTAGAGCTAGAAAGATAAGGTATTGGTATGTCTTGGGTATTCCAAAACTCACTTGCAACTCAAGATCACCCCGGATAATAATGTATATTTGAATAAATATATATGACACAATTTCTTGGGGCAAAAAAAAAGTAAGTTCATGAAATAAACATCATCAATTTTAGCTATTTTACGATCAAATTTGAGCAACACTGCCAAAGATAAAACGCAAACAACTGCGAGAGTGCGAGTACGAGTGCATTAATTTGTGCTCAGTTTTCGTGTGAATTGGGTAATATAACTAAATTTTGTTTGGGGTCCGGGGTCGATTTGAATCCGCTTTGCATCTTTGCATCTTGAGAACTGCCGCGTGGCTGGGTTCACACTTTTTATAGCAGGAGGGCTGCTGCAAAACGTAAAGAGCGGTGGAAATACACGGGCATTGTTATTCCAGTTAAGTTTGCCTTATTTTTTGTTTTTGCTCAGCCGGACAATTACTTATTTATTAATTGCCATTGACGTCGCGCACAAGCACAAATTACCGCTGCTGTCATGTACATATGTATTTATTGTAATTGTTTAAACTGCATTTTCATGAGGCAATCGAAATCGCTAAGAATTCGCCCTTGAAGATTTACAGCCAGGAACTTCAATTCTTCGGCAAGGAGAAACCCTCTCTTTGATTTAATTAACACCTTTACGCTAGTTAGTGGTTTTGACAAAGTGTGAATTGAAATAAAATTTGATAATATTTCTCTTGATTACTTTCTATAGTTTTCAGCTGTTGTGGGATTTTTGAGCACAGGAGACAAATATTGGTGATTGTTATATAAGTTTGGACCTAACAACACTATTTTATACTTAAAAACCCTTTGTCACCATTTTTTGAAAATATGTTATATCATTAAGGCGCTATATCAGATATAGCGCTGAATTTCACAATTGTGAATCATTTTTCTATTTAACTTGAACCGATTTGTGTTAGATTCGAGAAGATCAAACTTCGTAATGCATTATCGTCGGGGTTGGCATTATCATAACGGTGTTTCAGTGCCAGTGCAGCTGCTCCACTCGAACATGCAAACAGGTGCAATAGTTGCTACGCGTGTGTTTGTCTTTGTGTGTGTGTTGGCCTAGACTGGTCTCAAGTAAAAGTGAAAATCGTTGTTTTTTGCCTTTTTCTCTCTCCTCTTTCACGGCTAAGGAAAGCAGCCAGTAGCCCAACAATGGCAGAAAGTCTCTTATAGAAATAAAGAAAAACACAAAACTTAAAGCGTACGCACACAGGAAAAAACAGACCAAAATTAAATCTAACCGTGCAGGAGAAATATATATTACCACTTTTGGTAAATTCTGAATTTATACACTTTGGGCCAGTAGGCCGACGCTGGTCAACAAAATGTTATAACTTTTAAGCCTTACATTATTAGTATTTAAATGATATTTTAATATTTTTTTTTACAAATCAATTTGAAGAATATTATTTGGGTGCAAATTGCTTATAATATTACACCAGTGCACAGATACACGAGATCCAATTTTATTTAAATTTTTTGACGTACCGAGTGTAAAGTGAGCCAAAAACCAATATGAATTCCGTATGGATTTTGATTTAGCACCGCATCACCATCGAATAAGAAAAGGAAAAAAAGGAGAAAAGGTGGGTGGCGGATTTGAGGGGTGGTGGGTGGTGCCCACAATTGGCGCCTACTAAACGCGACTAAGCGACTCCGACTTATTCGCCGCGATTTCAAATTAACTCGCGTGTTTGAATCTCAAATAAATATCTGTTTGCAGATTGCACACACACTGTGTTTATTATTTTCTTCAACACTCTTCACTTTTTATTTTCATATGATTTTTAATTAAAATTTTAGCTCTCCCACTCTCATTTGCTTTTATTTATTCGTAGTTCGCGGCAGAGAGAAAGACGACCGTTAAGTTGCGCGTTCGAAAACCAAATGAATTGACGTCGACGTCGCCGACTGCTCTGAAAAAATAACTCCAATCTGAATTGCGAATAAGAAACTATATAGAGAACGCCAACGGGAGAGTGAGAGCGCAAAAAGTATAAAAGCTCCCGCTCTCCCCCATTCAGCTGACGTCACAAGGCGCTTGAGTGGAATGCCGTTTGAGTGAGTTTTATGCTTTGGGGGGCTTTTTTAGAAGGGCACACACATATACAACTTTGGGTTAGTCGGTCGATCTCTCTCCCCCCTCTCTCTCTCTCTCTCCGTCTGCCTCTCCCTATGATGCACTGCAATATGCGGGTGTTCGCTCAGCTGATAAATCGAAGAAGAAGCATTGGTATAGGTATGTATGTATGTCTATGATTGAGTGTGCATGTAAGCCGCGTTTACACCACATTTGTAATGCATTTTTCGGTTTCATTATTTCTGTATGAACTAAAGCTCCACGTAAAAATACTAAATGTAACTTTTCAGAATAACTGATTGGTTCTAACATTTTTATTTAAATCACTATTTCGTCAATAACCAATCTTTTTTGCCAATAACCTAACTAGATTTATTTCTCGTTCTGTTCTATTCTTGTTTTATTTTTTTAAGAAATCTCAATTTATAAGATCTACATTTCTGCAATAAAATAAATTTAAATAAAAAATTTTAAATTTTAAATTTTGATAAAACTTAATTGATAATGTATTCATACTCCAAACTTGGCGCCATTCACAAAAATAAAAGTTCAACTTAAATATGCCCAAAAACTAAAAAACCGCAGAATTTATCCTAAAAATAATGGTTTACAAGTATGTCTATTAAACTGAATTAAAACTAAAAGTTAATACAATAGACCGCAATGCTGAACCACACAACATGTAACCAAAAAAAACCGTAAAACAAATAACTAAAATCCACAACCAAGAACAATTTTCAGATAAGCGAAAAGAGCAAGACCACTATTGATAAGGCGGAATTCGCCTGCGGTCCCCGGAGATAAGTATTATGTTAATTGGGGAGACGACGATAGCCAAAAGAAAAAAAAAAGCACAAGTTGTGTGAGTTATGATTTGATACCGACATACAGCACACAACACAAAGCCTGGCAAAAATAATCTGTCGCTATATGTGGGGTATTTATCTGATGTATACTGAATATATGTGTATATATTAT